TAGTTTTAGTAGAGGTTTTACGGCACTTGCAACACAATAAGGTCATATAAGTGCCGAAGATTTGAGGTGTTATAAGAGAGTAACAAACATAAAAATAGAAGGAGGGGAGATAAGGAAGATAGACGTTCGACAGGAAAGAAGAAGAAAGAAGAAACATTCTGTTGAAATTCAATTTCTAAATGCTGATAAAAGATAGAAAAGGCACTCAATGTAGGTATAGCTGTAAAAAGAATGATACAGAATTTACCTCTCCTGGAAAAAATTTACTTTCTGAGATTAGTACATTTGAATAGCTTGATGCTGTTATGTTCTAACCATTGAAGAATAGGCGGAGGTTACCCTCAGGGTAAAATTTGTAATTAAAAAAAAAGTCCCTTCCAGAAAAAAACATCCCTATCATACCTGAGGAGATATAAAGATGATAGATGTTCGACAGGAAAGAAGGAGCAAACCATAACTAAACACCTGCAAACCACCCACTAAAAATTTGAGAAGAAAACTTATCTTCATCGATTACAGCTAGAGAGGCAAAAATGGCTTGGTCATGGAGGATAAAATAGTCTAGTTGGGAAAGAATGAAGTTTGCTAAGGGTCAATAAAAATAAAATAATGTGAAATAGATAAATACTCACTCCCTGTTAAAAAATCAGCAGCGAGCATCGAGTCCTGACTAGAATTCACAGACGACTGGTCCACACCTGGAAGAAAGAGAAGTGCCATAAGCTAACAAACAGTTTAGTTTTAGTAAAAGTTTTACGGTACTTGCAACACAATAAGGTCATATGAGTGCCGAAGATTAGAACTGTTACAAGAGAGTAACAAACACAAAAAAAGGAGGAGAGATAGGGACGATAGATGTTTGATAGGAAATTAGGAAAGAAAAGGCAAACCACACCAGAGCATCCGCCAACCACCCACTCTAACAAACAGAGCATTAGGTAGAGTACAGATCTAACAATAACGGAAGAAGAAGCGATGTGTTCCCTACATTAAACACCACTCCTACTTTGATAAAAAAGAAACACGTTGACACAAAACTGGTCATTTAGCCGTGGGGAAAAAGTAAGAGGGACAGGAATAAAGTAAGTCTAAGGAGAGACCAGACACCGCTATTTGCTAAAGTGTATGCCTCAAAAAATCTCTAGTCCTAACTGATATAATACTAATAATTAGCATTTGTTTAGAGAAAATTCCCTCTCAACAGCAAGCTTTGTGTGTTTTACAATTTATATCTTTGTTACCCCCACCGATCTAACACTAACAAATAGCATTTGTATAACAAAAATCCCGCTCAACAGCAAGCTCTATGTGATTTACAATTTACCAGGGTTCATACTGAGCAGGATTTTTTTCTCCCCAAGACTTCTCCAGGAGCTTTCAAGACCAGACTTCTTTTTTCCAAGACAAATAACGTGTCATTGAGGAAAAATATTTTTTGTTCAGCATGCAAATATACATTACGGTGCACTTCAGAATGCGTAGAGTCAACGCCTTCGAAACTTCGAGGAAATATTTTTACAACACATCTAGTTACATTTGTTTTCCCAAAACTTTTGCCAATGTCCCAAAAATTCCTAGTTTTCCATGTCTTGGAAAATAAAAAAACATTCCAAGAGTATTCCACTTTTCCAAGACCCGTACGAACCCTGTTTTACACTATTTTTACCCCCCACAGAACTGATTGCAATCAGAAACAATCTCAACTCCAGGGGAAGCATGCGTTACCTTCAGCGCTCGTAAATCCATCCTGGGCCAGACTGACGTCAGAGCTGCCGTCTCCCGGCTCCAGCAGACTCAGCCAGTTGACCATTCCCTGGTTGCTTGACGACTCTGTGGACGCACAAGAAAAGAATGAGTTTTTAAAATTATTTTTTTATAAAAATTGTGCAGCATTTAAAAATTCTCCTTGAAAATTCAACGGTGGACTCTGCCCAGATGTGCCTAATGGTTTATGCACAAAACCTCTGAACTTTCTCGACCCCCTGAACACGCATACGTAGGGACTCAAAGTTTACAGATCATATTGCCTAATACAACTTGTATTAATATTATTTTTGTGACGATCGGCCTGAAGTTGGGTAGAAATCAGACAATTTGCGTAATATCTGACTAAACCTTAATCTCAACATAATTCAATGACAGATTCAGCCCTACACGTTTGTTTGAGCAAAGAGGAGCTCATCAATACAAAACGGTCAGTCAATGTTGGGAAAAAAGTAAGATAAGACACATAAGGGGGAAATAAAATTTAATCCCCCCCCCCCCAAGCTTAATTTAGAAGAGACCCCCTAACTATTTGGGGGAAGAAAAAAAAATTCAGTCCAAATGTAGAAAACAAGGCACTCACTTTGTGGCACTGAGCAATGCTTGACAAGAATGTGCTGTCTCAGACTGGCTTTGCTGACGTAGTGGCGCTCACATTTCTCCATGGGGCAGTGGTAGACGATGGTCTTGCCCGAGTCGTCGTGCTTCTTCAGGTGGACGTACCAACTGCTCTTGGCCGTGAACGTGTTGCCGCAGCCTGCTCGTCATCCAATACAGAAGCGAGAGAGAGATGGGAGTTTTAAAATATACATTTATCTATGATGTTCTCATCGCGTAAATGGTTGCTTAAATAACATTTTTCAACTTGGATAGAAAAAAACAACAACCACCAACAACACCCCCCCCCCCCCCCAAACCAAAAAAAAAAAAAAAAAAAAAAAAAAAAAAAAAAAAAAAAAGCAGGAGGAGAGATGTAATTTAGGATATTTTGATACGAAAGAAGGAGCAAACTACACAAGAGCATCCACCAATCGCCCCAAAATCGTAATTAAAAAAACAAAAATACTTTTAATACATGAAACAAAATCTTGCTTAAATTGAGAAAATACAACAAGCAGCAGACATTTGATTTTTTATTAAAAAACTTTCATACTTCCCATACAAATATAGCTAAAAACCAGAATTTAAAAAAACACAAAAAACAAAACAATTGGAATAGTCATGACCTTGACCTCTTGGTCCCCTGTGACGTCACCAGGTACGGAGGAAGTAAATTCAAATACAATTCACCCTGTCCAAGACAAGTTTTTCTTTTAGTTAAAGTTTTACCGGCTGTTGCAACACAATAAGGTCATATAAGTGCCGAAGATTAGAGGTGTTACAAGAGTCACAAACACAAGAAAGAAGGAGGGGAGATAAAAGACGACATCGTCGTTGCTTTGTTTGTTGTTCAAACAGACATCCAGTGTTGAGAAAGAGCAACATAGACCGACAGAAACACGGGGAAAGAAAAAGAAACACCAAGTCCTACCAGAAACACGCTCCAGCCACACATTCGAAAAGATTACAATGGTAAAAATATATGAAAAAAATTCCAGGACAGATTCCTACGTAAGCACTTTACCCTCCAGTATATATCCGTGAAAGACGACGTAGGGGGTGGGGGGTACACTCATACAATCATACACATTCTCATAACACCAATGTACAGAACAAGCACACATGTTAAAAGATTGCGTATACATGAAGCATCTATTTACAATTACAAGTTGTTTCAACACGCCATAAAAAATAAAATAAAGTTCGTATTTGGTCAGTCTTGACCAATAAAAAAAACCCAACAACAAATAAAAACAAACAAAAAAACAAAAAAACACCATAAACCAAAGGAGACAAAAATCTAATACATTCCAGAAACAAAGAGAACATGGAGTATATATATACATATTATATGTATACCGAAACCACTTTTTTGTCATGAAAATTCCAACTCCAGAAAAGATTTCAGCACAGAACACAAAGCCAAAACCATGCAAGACCGTTGCGCACTCAGAGCTGGTCACAGGCCCATCAGTAAACCCCGACAATCGAGCAACAAGAATGAGAGACAGCGTGCATGACAATGATAAATAACTTGTTCTAAGTCTAACTACTGTTTTTTAAATTTTAATATAGCTAATTTACGTCCCCACTGACACAATTTCGGTCATTTAGGTGACAAAATTTAGATCATTTAGGCGACAAAATTTAGATCATTTAGGTGACACAAACAATTGAGATCATTTAGGTGACACAATTTAGATCATTTAGGCGACAAAATTTAGATCATTTAGGTGACACAAATAATTGAGATAATTTAGGTGACACAGTTTAGATAATTTAGGTGACACAATTTAGATCATTTAGGAGGCGGGCATCGACCTGGCCACTCGGGGCCTACCCTGGCTGTTAAAGAGGGACACAACAACCCAGCAGAGAGACCCGTGCACTCGATAAAAACTCTGTTCATTCGGGAATTAAACTTCTGTATGCCACGGCCAGCCAGCCAGCAAAGCGCCTATCCTCTAAACCCCCAGCCCCCAGTGCGTAAGTACTTCACAGAGCAGCAATAATAGAAAACTTTTATTAGAGACAAAAATTATATATATTTCAATAAAATGTGTGCACACTGCAATGCGATGCAGTCAATTGTTTCAGCTTTTAGTACTTTTAGAAACATCTCACTTCCATCTGAGAAACAAATCCTGACTGAGAACTATTGCCCCCCCTCCCCCCCCAACTGTCCGTTCAAAGAAGATTTTATTTTTTAAAGTGAAAAATGGGACACTTTATATAAACAGCTTTATCACCCACCAGGTCAGAATCAAATGATACATAACACCACAGTCGTAAAACAACAACTGCCTACCGTATGTCTGAAACAGTGAAATGGTATACGTTTAACGCCCTTATCAACACTACTAGGTTATTTAAGAGGCGGGACCTCCGAGTTTAACGTCCATCTCCGAAAGGACCGAGCCAAGTGGGAAATTCATGTTAAGTGCCTTTCCCAAGGACACAACATCGGATTGATGAAGCTGAGGCTCAAACCTCTGAACCCGCAATCTCACGATTACGGGTCCGGTAGCCTAACCACTAGGCTACCGACGCCACTCTCCTCAATGGTGACAGGGACGCGAAGACTTTCAGCGCCATCAAGGCTCTGGATCTGTACCGAGCTGATCAGCCCGTCGTCAAGGAGGAGTGTGTACATCCTGTCTCCAAACGTCTAAACACAGCGTTGCGGAACCTTGTTACAACTTGCAGCAAGCAGTCCGCGACACTTGGAGGCAACAAGAAAGGAGACCGTACTCAGGTAAATTGAATAGTTATCCATTTTCTTTTTTTCTTCTTAACTTCTTTTCTAGATGTCTAACTTTTCCTCCAGTTGTGGTCAGTATTTTGATTTAAAATGTGATTCTACAAGCTTTTATTTTACTGTTTAGATCCGGTTGTTTACACCGGCAAGGACCATTTCCCCGTTCCCCAAGGTAAATCGTTTACCCAACATTAAGTGGAGACCCTCGCGAGGAACTACATGGACTGTGGGCGTGTCCTATGGACAATTTTTATTCGTCTCCATCTCTTTTTATGAGTCTGCAGGAGAGAGGAACAGGACAGGAGTTGTGGGAACAGTGTGAAGGACTTCAGGTGTGCTGTGGTTGATGCTCTCGTGAAGCCGTACATGGAAGTAGTTCGCCGAAGGAAGTCAAGAGCTCAACCAAATCCTACTGTCGACAGACTCTCCGCAGCAGCACTTGGCCATTTTCCTCTGAAGTATGCGGACCCGTGGCATCGCCCGGTTTGTAAAGTACGCGTGTCCATCAAGAAGCGACCACAGACTCGGCACTACTACCCACAGTGTAACACTGTTCTATATGTGAGTACAGAGAGTGCTTCAAGATTTTCCACACTGCCGCTGACACGAGTTTTTTTTAGTAAGAGTTTTACGGCACTTGCAACACAATAAGGTCATAAAAGTGCCGAAGATTAGAGGTGTTACAAGAGATGTCTATTATAGGAATGCCCCCTAAAGATGGAAGAGGTCAACACGTGAACCAGAACCACAAGCACCGGCTGTCGGAGTATCAACAGAAATTATTCAGGGACCACATTTCATCGTTCCGTGGCCGAGTCTCACTACTACAGGCAAAAGACTCGTTGCCTCTATCTACCCGAGGAATTAAGCATCGCAACCATGCACTGTATGTTTACAAACACTCACCCGCAGGTATCAGTGAGCTAAGATGAGACCTAAAGGAAGACCTTTTAACTCAGACTTTGATATTTCGTCTGGATATCCTTGGACTGAAACATGCAGCAAGCGTGACAGCATCCGGGCACGGATCCAACAGGTGTCAGCGAAACTTGCTGAAAACTGTAACAATGTAACCTTACTCCAACAGCAAGCTCAGCAGCCCCACGCCGAGAAAGAGCTCCATCAGCGAAAGGCAGGACATTTTTACGCTCGAAAAAGGTCGGCGAAGGAAGAGGCCAAAACCTCTAATGACACATTTGCCTTGGCGTTTGATTTTCAATGTGGAATGCCTTGTCCTAACAAGACCACAAACGATGTTTATTACCGAAGGCAACTATGGTTTCATTCGTTCAACGTTGTACTAAGCCCTCACATTGTGTTATGACCGCATAGTATAGCATGGTATGGGGTTTTACGGCGCTCGCATCTGCATAAGGTGTGTTACGACCGTGGTGGTATGAAATACGAATACTTTGGGGGGGGGGGGGTTAGTGTCCCTCTTTCTGATGCAAGGTAAACTATCTTATTCATATGAGACAATCACTGACTATAATACAGAGATATTCCAACACTAAGAGGAAACAATAAGAGTAAGGCAATATGAATGATAATGATTAGACCTGTTGGTTAGAATTTGAGACCATCAAATTAACTTTTTTCCCAAGCTTCCGCCGCCCTCTATTCTAGCCGTCATATCGACGCTAAAGAGCTGGCTGCTACTTCGTAACCTAAAAGGCTGCAGTATGTTGGTATTTTAGCGCCTGTAAAATGGCAACTTACACTGTATCATGTTTTTAAGGAAGTTGAGATTGTTGTTTCAGAATGTTAACAGGTCTGCTGGGGTAACGACAATATGGAATAAAGCACATTCGGCTTGCTGTTGAGAGTGAGACTTTGCACTATACAAATGCTATCTATTTATAACAATACATAATGGACTTGTAGAAGTTAATCCAGTACACAACTGAGCTTGTGCACGGCTATGAAAACCTTATGGCAATATTTAGATAACATGTCGCTGGATTCCCACACTTTAGAGAGTTAGTAAAAATCAGCACACTGACATCATACCCATCATATACTGCTGGGGGTGAAAAAAGTAAGATAGACACAAACAAAAAGCGAGAAAATAAAGGAAGCAGGACCACCCACCCACCCACTAGCAATAAACAACCACCCCCCCACCCTCTCCCTCTTTCTCCCCAAACTGGATTTGAGATTCACTCCAGATCTTGAAAATGCAAAGTGCCGTCCTCAAACTGTGCGTCCAGCGTGGTGTCAAGCACCATGTTGTGTGTGGGGGCCACGCCCTCCATCTCCTCCAGGATCCCTGGGTTGGGCGGGTCGTCCTGGAATGGAAAAAAAAAAAATCACACGTGAGATCATCTTCGTTTGTTTTAAATAAGGTTTTACGGCGCTCGCTAACTGCATAAATAAGGTCAAATGAGCGCCAAGGGGTGGATGTCAAAAGAGAAGTCCAAATGGGGAATCAGGCTTACTCTGCTCACCCCTCTGGTCTCAACAGCACAAAGACAGCTTCGACTATCAGTACAGCGTACAGGGATGTAAATGGGCACTCTAAAAAAAATGTTAAAAAAGCAAATGCAGCCCCTAAGAAAAAAATTATTTAAAAAATGAATGCAGTTGCCTTACGAAAAACGTAAAAAACCGAATGTGGCTGCCTAAGGGAAAAAAAAAAAAGAAGTAAAAACCGAATGCTGCCGCCTAAGAAAAAAAAAGTGAAAACTGAAAGCAACTGTCTATGAAAAATTAAAAAACGGAAAGCGACTGCATAATGTGGGAGCCTTTCTAACAGATCCAGGGAGTATGTACCCCATTACAAAAAAAAATAAAAAATCATTTTTTAAAACAACATCAACAGTTTAAATTCTGCACAAGAATCTGAAATCAGACAAAATGTAAAATAATTACAGCCCTAAGTATAACTCAAGTATTGTAGATGTCCACTCTTTTGTCACCTTTAAAAACAGAAGAGCGCCATTTACCTGTAGCAGCTGAGTCTGCCGGTACGTGATTCCCGTCTCCGGGTCGCGGACGAACAATTCCGTCATGAAGGCGTCCGTGATGGACGTCCGGCCGTCCAGAACAGTCTCCGGAATACCTTCTGCCTGAAGTTCCATGTCGGGGATTTCCACTGTGTAAAGAGAATATTTGTGTCAACCATTCTTTTCATCACATTCGTGTCAACCATTCTTTTCATCACATTAGAGTTAATGTTTCTTTTTGACACATTCGTGTCAATGTTTCTTTTTGGCACGTTCATGCCAATGTTTCTTTTCATCTGTTCCCGTCGTTTTATGCAAGAAAAATTCAGAAATTATGCAAACAGAGCCCAAAAACGTGAAATTCTGCAATTCTGCTAATTTTAACAAAGAATGATAAAGGAAAATAATCAGAAATTAAGCAAAAAACAATCAAATTTTGCTAAATTATGCAGGGTGCATAAAACCACGGGGACAGTTTCATTACATTCAAGTCATGACATGGAGGGGGCATCATGGAAACCGCTAGAAAAGGAAGCACAGGACAGGCTTCGCTGGAGAAATGTTGTTGATGGCCTATGCTTCACTAGGAGTTAAAAAGGGCAAGAGAGAGAGAGAGCCATTCATGTCAATGTTTCTTTTCATCGCATTCAGGGCACTTAGTTCAGCTGGCATCATGCTGGACTAAATAATAACAATAAATAGTACTTGCTTAGCATATGCTCTCTCAACAGCACATTCTATGCTCTTTACAATCTATCAATTTATTATTACCCAAGAAAACCCTAAACCACTAAGCAAGATTCTCAACTTCCCGGGAAGCATACAGCGCAAGCAGCATATTAAGCGCTCAAACACTAACAAACAAGACTGATGAGATCTTTTGCTGTCTACAGCTGGGTGCCCATTCCCACCTGGGTGAAGTGAGGAAAATTTGTGAACAGTGCAATTCCGAGGGACACATCAAGCCTCTAACCAGGTTTGAACCCACGACCTTTCAGTTGTGAGCCCAACAGCCTAACCAATAGACCACCAACACCACTATATGTGAGGCGTGCTGACCGAATGAGTAGCTTCTCGCAGTCCATAAATGGAGATATTGGCCAAAAAATTGACTTCAGGGTCAAATTTGTAGATTTTCTATTGATGCCATATATTCTTTAACTATAGCCTGACTTTTATTATTTCATACTTATCATAAATTGTAAAAACGTCACCTATAAGCGTGAAGCATCCGTACGGCTCAAATCCGAGAAGTAACTCATTTTGTCAGCACGCTTCACATACAGACAGTGGATAGCTTGGGTTCGCAGCCCCAACAAGGCATTCTTGAATAGACCTATTATTGGATCTATTTCCAGCTACACAGTTAGAGCATAACACCACTGATATTTTTCTGTACTGCAATCAATCTCTGTCAACACTGCCAAGCCCTGTTGTGTTAATTGGGAGGAAAATCTGGCTGGTCCTGACTCAATTTGACTGAATTCTATTTGCAGTGTGTACTGGGTAGAAGAAGAAGAAGAAGAAATAAATGAAGAACGGGAAGAAGAAGAAGAACAATAACAACAACAAATAGAAGAAGAACAAGAAGAAGAAGAAGGAGGAGGAGGAGGAGGAGAAGGGAAAGGGGAAGAAGGAGGAGGAGAAGGGGAAGGGGAAGAAGGAGGAGGAGGAGGAGAAGAAGGAGAAGCTCACCCTTGACTGTGGCGTCCTTCCCCCCCGCCATGGGCCTTGACACGCGTATGGTGTGCGTGAACGTCTGCTGGCCAGCCAAGGGAACGTTGTTGGAGACGGCGTGCTTGAAGTCCGGGCTGACAACCAGACCCCGCGACAGACCGCCAGAGTTCTGGGCATTGAGCTGGGCTCCCAGTTTGGCTGCCTCAATCTCCTTCTGCTTCTGCCACCTGAGAGAGAGAAACGAAATAATAATAGTTTTAGTATTAGTAAGAGTTTTACTGCACTTGAAACACAATGAGGTCATATAAGTGCCGAAGATTAGACGTGTTACAAGAGAGTAACAAACACAGAAAAGAAGTAGGAGAGATCAGAACGATAGAAGTTTGATACGAAAGAAAAAGTAAGACACACCAGAACACCCGCCAACCAACCATATTCATCTTTCAGACACACTGAAATGAATAACAACCGGAGCACAAAAACAACAACAGCGACACACACACAGGTAGGACTGACCGTTTGAGAGCCCTCGCGCTGATGATGTCATTGCTCCGCGGGTCCGTCCGGGCCGACCCGTGCATATTCTCCAGCATGATCTGGCTTTTCCTCCCTCTCTCCACCGCTTCGATCGACAACCGCTCCTGCTGCAATGGTGAAAACAACCAAATAAATACTGTAAATGCGAAAACAAAATAGATACTGTAAATACAAAAACAAAATAAATAAGGTAAATATAAAATATAAACTGTAAATATAAAAACAAAATAAATACTGTAAACGCAAAAACAAAATAAATACTGTAAATGCAAAAACAAAATAAATACTGTAAATGTATAAACATTTTTTTGGGGTAAAAACAAAATAAATACTGCAAATGTAAAAACAAAATATATACTGCAAAAGCAAAAACAAAATAGATACACTGCAAACGCTCTTTTTTTGTTATTCCTATTTCTCTTGCTTCACCCCAGCAGTGTCAATCTCATACATCAACACAATCCGTCATTTCATGTATGGAAAAGGTAAAATAAAGCGACAGAAACAAATCCGAGAAGTCTGGAAAATAAGGATTTCCAGATTTATTAATTAGGACAATTGGCACCTCTGGGTAAAACTAGGCTAAAGGTACAGGCCATAATAATAATAGTAATAGTAATAATAACAAAGGGAATTTATTGAGCATTTAATCCCTAAGCACTGTACAATACAGAATTAGGCTATTACTTAACTGAAAAATCATAAGACAGAAAATGCATGTTATGAGACAAGTTAACAACAAGGATAAACATACCAGACCATACACATTCTCAAATACAAAATCTAGTTGCAGAAGATACTGTTGAACACGCGTGCCTTCTCTTTCCTTAACACTTTGCTATCATAAGAAGGCTTATTTATATAGCAAAAACCCTTGCCATCAAAGGCATTTTGGGGAATATCCAAAGAAACGGGGAGGTTAACATCGCCAATCAGCGAGATTAGGCGGCAAAGTGTTAAATTCTCCCTTTGATATTACAATACGCAATTCATTTGGAAGGAACTTTCAAATTTTGGAAGCACTGGAAGACCACCACCACCCCCCCACACACAATAACTCATTCACCCATACCTGCAGAATGTCGTCCGCCTCAAACAGCTGCTGTTGGAACTGAGACTCTTGCAGCAGCTGCTGTTGCTGATGAGGCTGCTGCTGCTGCTGTTGTAAGTGCTGTTGCTGCGCCTGCGACTGATCCATGTGGATGGCAGCCGGCCCGACGATGGTGGGAGGCGCTGTGGCTGAGCTGGCCACGGCTGCAGCTGTCATCAGCTGGGACATGATGCCGCAGGACGGGTCAGAGAGAGCGTCGGCACCGGCGGGGAGAACGGGCTGACCAGAGATACCTGTACGAGAAGGGAGGGAGGAGACACGAGTGCATAAGTAGAGAGGATGAGTTTTAGTTTCAGTAGAGGTTTTACGGCACTTGCAACACAATAAGGTCATATAAGTGCCGAAGATTTGAGGTGTTATAAGAGAGTAACAAACACAAAAAA